CTTGCTCTCCATTTCCAGTGGGAACAACTCCTCTGCAGCAATCCTGTCTTTAGGTGTTTACTGCGTCCACAGGGTAAAGGACAGTGGCTCAGACTTAGCCAAAGACCTCAAGACTGTTGTGTGTCCTGTGCCTGATACCTGTTCTAAGCCTGGGAGCAAGGCCACGTGGAGCTTGCTGACTTAGGATCTGTTCATCTGGAGATCTAGTGAGTGAAACCGAGAGACCATGACTACTGTTACCACCAGTCAAGCTACTTCTGTCATGCTACTCTACCCAATACTTCTTCATGACATCAATGAGCTGTTCTTCATTACTTCAGTAGGAACCTACTGCTGTAGCCACAGTGGTCACAATCACTTGAGATATGTCTGGCTAAATGCCAGCATAGACACTCTCTCTAACCTTGTACTTCCTCTACCTACTGACCCACAAAAGATACCATTAGATGCATCATAAGTACATTTCCATCTCAAAGGGATTCTTGGTGACCACTGTTGCTAGGGACTGCCCCTTCACAGCCTCCTCACAGCTTCTCACTGACACCTCAGCCACTGCAGATGCACAGGGTGCTGGAAGTACAGCCACTGCTATCCCTGCCTTGGTTGCAGAAGCCTTTTCCAGACCAAATCAGGATCGTGCCAGCCACCTACCTGTGAATCATCGTCAGTCATCTCCACAACTGATGAAGGCACAGCTCTGGAGATCTTGGCATAAAGCCTCCACTACTAAAAACTAGATGTAGACTTTGGGGTGAAGACTCAAGCAGGGTAAGCCCTGAGAACAGGGCTGTGACCAGGTACCTGGACACAGTTGTGCACATCTTAAATTCCAGCATTTGGGAGACTGGCAGGTGGATCTCTGTGAGTTTAAGGCCAGCCTGGTCTACATAGCAAGAAGTTCCAGGGCAGATAGGGATACACAATAAGATATTGTCTCAAAACAAACAAACAAACAAACAAACAAACAAACAAGCAACAGCAACATTACAAGACAGAAAATGAGAGTAAGAGACCTAAGCATGAATCTACTAGTCAGAGGAGACAATTCCCCTCCCTTCAAGTTCGAGCTCTTGTAGGGGAGTGCAGTGGTCTTCCTCCACACAGAAAGGCACAGTTGAGCAGGCCTGGTCTACCACATCCCTTTAAAGCCACGCTTGTGGGAAATTCATGGTCTTAGTCATAGGTAACAGGTTTTTATCTTCTGAGGGGATAAAGGAACCCAGGCCAAGAAATTCTAGTCAGAAGAAATCTGTGCTTACAGACTAAATGAAATAAGGAAGAAACTTAAGGATATAAAAATATACTTAAAAAAGAGAAAGAAAAGGAGTTGCCAGGGAGATGCCATGTAGCTGTGGAGGAAACAAGAGACCCAGACTTCACTGGTAAGCCAAGACCATGTGCAGATACACAAATTAGCAGAAATGGGCTAATAATTAAGAGAGAGCTAGCCCATAAGAAGCCTAAGCCATAGGGCAAACAGTTTATAATTTATATAAGCCTCCGTGTGTTTATTTGGGACTAAACAGCTTTGGGACTTGGTGGGACAGAAGGGACAGAAACTTCCATCAACAAAATAGAAACACTGTTGGAGATGAAAAATTCAATAATTCAAAAACCTCACCAGAAAGTTTCACCAACAGACAAGATCGTAGAGAGGGCAAGAGAGCAAAAGTAGGGGAGTGGATTAGTAAGTCAACATTAATGATAATTTTTTAAATGTAATAATGGAGCATGTAAGATCTTTGGGATACCATAGAAAAGAACAAATCTATGAATTATGGGCACTGGAGAAGGAGAAGGATTCCATGTTAGAGGCATAGAAAACATTTTCAGCAAAACTGTAAAAGAAAATGTCCCAAATTCTTGGTAACCAACTAGGACGAAGCCTTTCCAGGTACAAGAGACAAACAAAACACTAAGTAGACAAGCAGAGAAAAGAAACCCCACATCATATCACATTCAAAACACTAAAGATCCAAAACAAAGAAAGCATATTGAAAGCTGCAAGAGAGAATTGATATGGACGCACGAAAGTCCCTGGCTGGCAAAAAGCATAATGCTGGGGTTATTGCTATATCCAACCCCATAGTATAGCAATAAAAATGGCTTAATACTGGCACAAAAACAGGCAAGCAGATCAACGGAATAGAATAGAAGACCCAGATATATGCCCACAGAACTACAGAAAACATGCTAGTTATGTATAATGGTAAAAATACACACTGGAGAGAAGACAGCATCTTCAACAAATGGCACCTGGAAAACTGATCACTTCATATAGAAGAATGAAACTAGGTCCTCATCTCCATGCACAAAAATCAACTCCAAATGGTTCAAAGATTTTACTGTACACATGAGACTGTTAGAGGAAATATGGGATACACTTCAAGATACAGGGACAGGTAAGGACTTTCTGATTAGGACTCAAGTTGCTCAGGGAATAAGGCCAGTTATTGACAAATGGGGCTTGATGAAAGCCCTGGCTTTAATCACTAGCATTGCATACACACATGTGGCTGGCACATGCCTGTCATCCCAGCACTAGGAAGGTGGAGGTAGGGTGCTTAGGAGTTCATTTCGCCTCTCCATGGCTTGGCTTCCCTCTTACTGCCATGTCAGTTGGTTTTCCCTGTTGCTGCTGATGGTGATTCTGTCACTGATGGTAGAACCAGTGTTTCCAAGCTTTCACTGTGGACTAGGAATCAGTGGTTTTCCAGGAAATCAGGCTTCTAGCACCAGATTTAGACTGCTAACAAGCAGTTACTCAAGACTGAGTAACAAGCAGTTGTCCCCAAGAGAAAGAAAGCTGTTATGGGGCTACTCTGTCTGTCACCAACTTCAAGGAATAAGTAACTTCCGGGATCTCAATATCTCAGATGTATTTAGCTGTTGTTACTGCCCCTCCCCGCCACCACAAGGTTTCTCTATGTAGTCCTTTCTTTTTGTATTTGCCTGTAACACTGGTGCCAGGCTCGAAGTGCTGAAAGGGAGTATAAGAATGGCCAGCTGGGGAGTTGAATGTTTCTGGCCTGGATCCCATGGGCACAAGGGAGAGTGCTTGCCTTTGTCATCTTGTACAGAAGGAGGAAGTTCAAGGGTATATTCTAGCAAAATGAAAAATGAGCCCAAGGGAAAGACCCTGTGGGCTGCCTATTATAGGGAATGAACTCTGGCATGAGATAAGGAGGCTTTCCAGTATGATGAGCTTAAGTTTTTGACAGGCATAGCATAATTTCTCCGAATAGAACAGAAAGTTAGGAGGTCCTGGAAGAACTTTCCTTAAGAATGAAGTAGTTACCATGAAGTCCATGATGTGACTGGAAACACAGAATAATAGTAAAACAAACCCCAGGATTCTCTGTTGGCTAGTGGAAGAAATTATGGGGAAGTCAGAAACTATATGGGACTTTTGATGAATCAAGAAGGTGTAGCAGCATCTCGCTTTGCCAGTGAATTTGTGTTAGTGGCCACACCCCTTTGGGCATGACCAGAAGGTAGAGGAGCACAGGGTAGGCACTCTCTCTTGGGTTGCAGGTAGTGTAGGCCTCAAACTTTAACAGTGTGACGTAAGCAAATGAAGACTAAGAAAAAGCTGTTTTCTGAGATCATAAAGCACTTCATCCCGGACTTGCAGGGATGGCTCAGCAAACATGAACCAATAAATACAATCCACTTCATAAATGGACCCAACAACTGACCCTCATGCCCCAAGGTTCCTAATATAAGTCTCTGTGTATTATTTTGACCACCCACATGGCGGGCAGAACTCAAGTGGGTGGTGGAAAGATTTATCCTAACAAATGACAGAAACCACACGATCATCTCAGGAGATGCAGAAAAGGCCTGTTACAAAATCCAACAGCTCTTCATGCAGAAAAGCCCTGAACAATAGAAACAATGATGAAGGGATTATCATTTATAGAGCCCTGGTCATAAAAATAGCATGATGCTAGTGTAAAACTGATCAGTTGAATAGCATTGAGGACCCCATCAAACAAGAACTGCCTCCAAAGGTTTTTAGATCAGTTTACTGGTTCCCTCAGTAGTGGGTAATATACATCTTTGATATGATGTCTACATTGGAATTAGCTGTGTTCTTAGAAATTTAAGAATCATACCATGATGTCTTTTGTTTTGAAGAAAATATACAGAGTTATGTGATTTCACCTGTTTCCTCTCCCCACTGGAGATTCAAGTAGAGTGAGTGAGATACTTCCTCCCCAACAGCCCAATTTCAGCCCACAGTCCTATGAAACTGAAGAAAAAGAGACAAAAAGACTGTGGCAGCATGGGTGATCTTTATTAGGGGGGCTTACTGATCTAGGGGCAGTGGGAAGATCAGCTGGGTCCCCACAAGACAGGGATATGTATGGGCTCAGGCAGGATTGATTTCATCCTAGTTGAATGTACCTGGCTTGCTTTAGCTGACATCAGAACCAGACACATTCGAAAACCCCACAGACCACTCTCAAGGTTCATCCACTTGTAATCTGCTGGAAAACTATGCAGGAAAACTCAAGAGTTATTCTGAGGCAATCATGATGGTTCCAGCTCAAGATGGCATTGGTCACGTGAAGCCAAATTCATAAAAATACTATAATACTATTAATCAAAGGACAAATAGGCCATCAGATGCCCTGGAAATTAGAACTACAGATAGTTTGTGCTGCCATGTGAATGGGAATTGAACCTAGGTCCTCTGGAAGAGTAGCCAGTGTTCTTAACTTGTGAGCCATTCCTCCAACCCTTGCCCTCTTTTCTTTATCAAATGTTATTTGTAGTCACTGAGGTCAGCTTCAGGCCTTTCACACACTTCTCAGTTTTCAGATCACTGGAGCTGCATTGTCACAGACAAGTTCCCCCTCTGTGACAAAGCTAGCTGTGTTGCTTTGAACCAGAACAGAAAAAAATAAAAGTTTTGTGTATTAATAAAAACAAATGCTTAGAGCCTCCTAGGTGGTCAGTGTGGAAGACTGAAGAAAGTGGCAGCAGGTCTGTGGTCATGAGATTTGCTTTAGGCTTTTTATGCACTTCTGAACCTTCTGATCCCTGGGGTTGGCACAGACCTGGTTCCTCTTCTTGGTGACAAAGCTGAAGAAAAAGGAGAAGAAAGATTACAGAGGTCTCTAGTAAATAGGGAAGGGGAGCCCCATCCTCTGGAACCTCCAATTTTCCACTCAACAATCTGTTCTTTCTAGGAGACGGCTCAAGCCACCTCCTCTCTGAGGTCCTCTCTAGGTCTATGAGATTCCCTAATGTCTCTTGGAGTAACATGGACACCCTGAAGTATCCTCACTATCACTTGTCAGGATCCAAGGACGGGGCTTTCTTGGATACCTATTCAGTCTTTTAACGTCCTGGAGGCTCCCTCACTCCCAATACACAGTGAGTGAATTTGACACTTACATGATGCCTGGCTTGATGCAAGTACCACTGGTGGGGAAATAATATACAAAATTTGAACACTTGATCCGTGAGATATAGGAGAAGCAGCAGTCCAAAGGCTCTGCAAAGCCTGTAGAGAGAGAAAGGGTCACTCAAGGGCCAAATCTTTGCTCTCAAGAGTGCTCTGTGTGTGTGTGTGTGTGTGTGTGTCCCATAGCAGATGAGAAGGCCCAGGACTCTGGGGATGCTTTCTCCCCACCCTGCACTCATTATCATCTCCCTTCACACCCTCTAATGGGGGTAAGGTGGATCATAGCAGGGCTGGGAGCATGTCCATAGAAGGGAAGCCATGCACAGTCACCAATAGGAAACATCTGCTCCAAGTGGGCAGACTCAGTGCCTAGAGAAGGGAATACTGGAGGAAATACTCATGGCCCATCCTGATCTTCCTTGGGATGTTGCTGGAAATTCCTTAACATCCTTGGTGATTTCTGGAGAGCATCCTCAACCACTCTCATGACCTTGTTCTGTTCTGTCATCAGGGAGGATGGTGCTCTGGCACCATCTGCAACCATCTGGTGCCTCTCAATACAAGCTGTAATGAAATATTTACCCATGGGAAGCACTAGAGGTTCATCAAGTCCTTGCTTTGCCTTCAGGACCTCTTCTGTGTCTGATGCTGGAAGAAACAGTGCAGAGAGCAGCGTCAGCATCTTCGCTCACCATGCCCATTCTCACCTAGGCAGACAGGCCCCAGGGCTGGACCTTCATCACACACTTGGGTTCTAAGGTCTGCCTAGGCCCATCAGTCCCTTTTGGTGACATGAGACTTTTCTGGGATCACTCGAAAACATTCTGCTGACCCTGAAGCACTACAAGTGAAATACAAATGTAATATGGTAACATCAATGAAGTGTCTACATACGGGGTACACTCACAGTTTTTGTTACATTTCTGGAATCTTTAGGAATTTGAAAACTGCACATTTTTCCTTAACTCTTTTGGGGACACAAAATCCCTTGAAGTGAAATGAGACTCCTGATAGTCTGAGTTTATATAAAGTCTGATTAATGGATGCTCTGCAGAAATCATCAGGATGTTATGTGATATCCAGCAACATATCACTTTTTAAAATCCAGAATAATCCTGCATCTCTAAATATATCGAAGCCCAAAGATTGTCGCTAAAGGACTTGGAATTTGCATTGTGCTAAGAAAAGGCAACTGACCCTTTATATCATGTCTCCAATAGCCGCATACAAATAATGTGTAGTAAGATGTGTGGCTATTTTTTTAAAACATGCTTGATGTGATGTAGGTGGGCTTCCAAAGTAAATGTTAACTAGCCTTGCCTTTTCTTAAGTGCATCATTACTAACCCGCCTCTTCATTTTATCCTTTGCTACTTGTGTAGTCTTAAGTTATTAAAGGCTTCTCTGTCTCAGTTTCCTCATTCGTGAAAGGAGCAAAACCATAATGATATACAAGGCTATGCAGAACTGGTCTCCCCCCTATAAGAATGGTGAATTTGCATGTGTCCAACCCCTCAGGGTTGCTGGAGGAGGAATGAATCAGTGTCTGTAAGGCAGAAAAGCAGTTGCCTGGCAATAAGGAGTACTAAGTACATTCTTGTGAGATAAATAGAATGGCTAGGCGACTCTGTTGTTTTCTGCATCTTAGTGTTCTGACTGCTTAAAATTGGGACAGCAGGGAGAGGTTAACTGCTTTTAAACAAAGGGTTCAAACCCACTCATGTGGAGCCCAGCCCCTGCCTTTATCTCATTCTCAAAGGCCATGCTGGCTTTTCCCCTGCCCTTGCTCTTCTTACAGTTAGGTCCTAGGCAATTAGAGACCATCAGACTTCTTCAGACTAGGCAGTCTCAGCTGTGCCCCTCACTGTGCCCCACACTGTGCCCTGCCTCTTTCCCAGTATCCTCAGTACAGAGCCAGAAATCAGTTTCTCTATTTCTATTGCTTATACTGCCTGACCCAAGTCCAGTATTCTCCTTGGCTCTGTGGGGTGTGATGTATGATGTACTTCTCCTCTTTGGAAAAGTTAAAGAATACATTCTTTTATTTTACAGGACCTCTCTGTGTTGAGCCCTAGTCACCTCCATAAACCAAAATACCAAATGAGACAGTGACCTTGGTGAGCCATTTGCCTGGCTGGTCCCAATGCCTTAAACAAGGATGGTTTTATACTAACTGGTGTCGAACAGTTATAGCATCACAGAACTCTGTTTATTGTCACAAATTTACAATGCAATTACAGTTCTTTTGATCTAGTTAAAACATTGGCTAAGATTATCTTAAGCCATCAAATAACTCTAGTTATGGAAAAGGAAAATAATCATTTCTCCAAATGGAAGCAAGTCATCGGTGTACCAGGATCTACAGCAGTGTATCTCAACCTTTTTAATGCAGTTCCTCATGCTGTGGTGACCCCCCAACTGTAAAGTTATTTTCATTGCTACTTTATAACTATAATTTTGCTACTGTTGTGAACTGTAATGTAAGTACCTGATATGCAGAATATCTGATATGGACCTGTGGGTTGAGACCCACTGATCCAGAGGCTGCAGACAGAGGCAGGTCTGTACCTGTGTACTGCTAAGTAAATGCCATTGCTCTGTCTGGGGTAGAGATTATTCACAGCGTCAATGCTGCCCTTCTGGGGTCTTCTCCCCAGACTTCCAGTTACCATGGGACTCACCACGTATGATCCAGGCTTGGAATCCAAGAGCAGCTGCAAGAATGAAGAAGGAGAAGGCAGTAGTAAAAGGCTTCATCCTCTCTGTAGGCAGACCCAATTGGCCTTCAGACTAATCGCTGTCCCCTGCCCTGCCCTGCTATTTATAAAAGCAAGAGGACCAGGAAGTCCCAGGTTACAGCTCATAATGCTGTTCTTTGACTGCATAATACTCAATATGCTAGTTCTAAAAGAAGGAACAAGGCTCGGAGCACAGGGAAGTAGAGGGCAAAGGTGACACGGGGCTTTCTAAACTGTTCCAATCCATTCAGAGAGAGTAGGTATTTCCATAAGGGTTTCTCCTCCCAGGAGATTCATTCAGTCCTTTAGAACTGACCACAGTGTGGAAATGGGGAGATCCTTCCAAACTTCCAATGAGAGGTTAACTTGGAGGATACTGGCTTATGTCATTTCCAGTGGACAGAGATATACAGATTATAGATGTAAACTTGTATGTCTTACTAGAGATATATAAAATTGATGTCAGCTCCCTCTTTCATTATTTTTCTTTAATTCTTCAAAGTTTTGTTTTATTTTACATTCATGAGTGTTTTGCCTGTATGTATGTATGCATGCAGTGCCTACAGAGGTCAGAGGAGGGTGTTAGATCCTCTGGAACTGGAGTTACAGATGCTTGTAAGCCACTGTGTGCATGCTGAGAACTGAAGCTGGGTTTTCTGCAGGAGCAGCAAGTGCTCTTAACCACTGAGCTGACTCTTTAGCCCTTTAGATACTTTTAATACCCTTTAACTTATGAGGGAAAAATCTCTTTAGAACGTCTATCAGGAGAAACATGTAAGGCTGCAGTGGTGGTGTTCACCTTTTCTGTTTAGCACTTGGGAATCAGAGGCAGAGCTGTCTCTGTTAGTTTGAGGCCAGCCTGGTCTACATACTGAGTTATTTAATCTCCATGAGTTTGTCAATGTTTGGTGTTTATTTGTAGTTTTATTCTGATTCAGTCAAATAAAATAGGAAGAGAGGTCTAGAGAGAAAGCTCATCGGTTGCTTTTTGCTTTTGTGTGTGACTTGATGTTTATCTCTTGTTGCTTTTTGCACATTTTTGTTATGAATATTTAGTGATTTAATTACAATATGACAAGATGAAGTTTTTTTTTTTCAGGTCTTGTGTATTTGGTGTTCTAAATGCTTCCTCCTCTAGCTGAATAGATGGTTCTTTGGCCAGTGTGGGGGAAATTTCTGCTAGGATTTCATTGGAGATGTTTTCTATGCATTTGGAAAAGAGTTCTTCACCCTCTTTTACACCTGTGATTCTTAGATTTTTATCTTCTCCCAGTGTCCTAAATAGCTCGAAAATCCAACTCAGACCTTTTCTTTAATTCGTCTTTGTCCTTGTCATGTTCTAGTCCCTATACCTTATCTTCAAGCCCAGATATGCTGTCCTTCCATTGGCTGATTCTACTGATGAGGCTTTCTGTAGAACTTCTAATTTGCCTCATTATATATTGGATTTCCAGTAGTTCACTAGGGTTTTTCTTCAGTATTTCTATACCTATATCAAATTCCTTTTTCTTAGGTATTATGCTCCTTATTTAATTCAGATGTTTGTTTGTATTCTCTTGATAGCCTCCTTTTATGCATGGAGATGAGAGAGAGACCAGATGAGCTGTAGACTCTTGTATTTCCTATGGTTTATGCTAGTACTGAGTCTGTACTGGGCAGGTGTGTGACATCTGTCTGCACTGTCTTTTGCTTTAACAGTTCCCATTCTTTTCAGAGTAGAGGTTCTGTGGGCCTCATAGGTTTCCTTCTGTGATCTAGGCAGATTCTTTCATCCTCCTAAGACTTGCCAGAATGTAACCCTGTGGTGGTTTATGTTCTATCTGGAGGGTGTTTCCCAAATGTGTTGGGAATGTGGGAGGAAACCTCAGCACTGAGGTTGGTTTAAGCAGAGGACCTGTCTTCATACTTTCAAGACCTCTTGAGTATGAATCACCCTGCTAGGGGAATGCCACTGTGGGTATTGTGTTGGTTACTTGAACTGGAAACATGCCATAACTTAGACTTACTGGGGAAGAGAGGCTTAGTGAGGAATTTCCTAGATTATCTAGGATAATATTGATCTGTGGGCATGTGTATAGGGGGATTGTCTTGGTTGTTAACATGGAAAGACCCATCCTAGGTGGGGATGGCACCATTTCACATGCTGGGCCCTGTGCAGTGTAAGAGTAGAGGAAGCTGGCTGAGTACTAAGCAAGCAAGAATTGAACATGCATGTATTTATTTCTCTCTGTCCTTGACTGTGGAAGTGAAAACTCCTGCCACAGTGACTTCCCTGATATGATGGACTGTGACTTGGATTATAAGCTAAAATAGATCATCTCCTCCCCCCGTGTTGCTTTTTGTCGTATGTAGGTATCTTGTCCACTCTTGGAACTTCAGAGGTCTTAGGCCCTATAGCAGTGAACAACAGCTGGCTCTAGGATTTGATCTGTCCACCTGCTTCAGGCTCAGAACTATCAAATCCAGGATTATTCTCAGTTGATGGGATTGTTTGTGGTCACTGAGGGCAGGGCTATCTGTCTTATGCATGTCTCAGCCTGTGCTAACCTCCTGCAACTTGAACCTTCGACTCATCAGTGTCCAGCCCTCCAGCTCTCCACAACTCAACTTCCCTCACCTAGAGGTTGTGGCAAGCCAAGGTATGGCTCTCCAACTAGTAGATGTTCCCTGGCCTCAGGTTCCCAGAACAGCTCAGTTTTGAATAACGGTTTTTATCTCAAGATGGCACCTGCCTTCTTTACTCAGATATGTGAACAACTGCTATTTCTTTCCACCACTGATCCATCCAAAAGAGGAATTATTGTCTCAGCTAAACCTACAACTGGGTTTGAACCTCGTGAGAGGTGCAGGCTTGCCCTGTGACTGGAAGCTGTCTCCTCCTCCCATTGGGGAACAGCATGACTTAGGCTGCATTCATCAATTACTTCTCTGTATCAATTACTTTACTGATCTCCTCCCAGGGTTCCTTCCACTCCCTTCCAGGGGTCCTGAAACTCCTCTTAGCGTTCTCATGGGATAAAGTGTATTTTTTCTTACTCTGATTCTCCACTTGACTTGCTTATATGGAGGTAGCCCCTAGTCATTCACTTTACCCTCAAATGTGTGTTTTATAAGATGTAATCTAGTATATTGTAGCAATACAAAGATTATCTGAGAAGTTAAAGGGAAAGCCTGGGTTCATGGCTGATGTTGCCTTTGTTCCTCGGCCTCTCAGAGGCCCCTATCATTTCTTAACCCCACAAAACAGGGACAAAACCCAAAGACATTTTAGACAATTCATGGATAAAATACATCTTTGATATGAAGTTTGCATTGGAATAAGTTGTGTTTTTAGGAATTTAAATATTATACCACTATGTCTTTGGTTTTGAAGAAAATATCCAGTTACATGATTTCCCCTAAAAATTCAAAGTGAGTGAATGTGATACTTTCTCCCCAACTGACATTTCAGACTGGCCCTATGGTTCTGTGACTCTGAAGACAGACAGACAGATAGTCAGACAGACCAACCTATGGCTACATGCATGCATTTTATTTTTACAGGGTGGTGGTGGTGCTTACTGCTTTGGGGTTGTAGGAAGAACAGCTGGGTCCCCACACAGTTGGCCATATGTATGAGCTAGGGTAAAATTGACTTCATCTTGGCTGGCTTAAGATAGTGTCAGAACCGGACATATTCCAAAGCCCCCAGAGACCACTCTAATAGTTTATCCATTTGTAATCTGCTGAGAAACTATGCAGAAAAACTCAGTTGTTATTCAGAGACAATCACGATGGTTATAATGCAAGATGGCTCTAATCATGTCAAACAGAGTCCATATAAATACTGTTGACTACATGAGCTGCTTTCAACCAGAACAACAGAATAAATGTCTTAAATGCCTATAAAAATAAATGCTTAGCGCCTTGTAGGTGGTCACTAGGGAAGACAGAAGAAAGTGGCTGGCAATATCTGCCCTCCTTCTCAAGCAATGGCTCTGTTCCCTGGTCTGGGGATTTGCCTCAGGCGTTGTATGCACTCCTGAACTCTCCGATCACTGGGGTTGGCACAGACCTGGTTCCTCCTCCTGGCGACAAAGCTGGAGAAAAGGGGGAAGAAAGATTACAAACAGAGGTCTCTAGTAAATAGGAAAGGGGAACCCCATCCTCTGGACCCTCTGATTTTCTACTCAACAATCTGTTCTTTCCAGGAGATGGCTCAGCAGCACCTCCTCTCTGGGGCCCTCTTTAAGCCTGTGAGATTCTCTAACTCATGGAGTGACTCCAGCAGACTTCTGCCTGCTGTCTTCCTCTCTACCCCCTGACCTATCTTTCCCCTTACCTGGTGAGATCCAAGGATGGCCCTTTTCTGCAAGCCTATCCACTTTGTCATCTAAGATCATGGAGGCTCCCCCTTCCCCTGACACACTGTGAGTGAGTTTGACACTTACATGATGCCTGGCTTGATGCACCCTCCACTGGTTGGAAAATAATATATGAATCTTGAACATGGGATCCGTGAGACATAGGAGAAGCAGCAGTCTGAAGCATCTTGAACACCTGTAGGAAGACACAGGTCCACTCAAGGGCCAGATCGTTGCTCTCAAGTGTGCTTTTGGGGTCCCATGGAGGGTGAGGAGGCCCAGGACTCAGAACATGGTTCTGCTCTAAACAGCTGAACTCAGGGCACCCAGGTATATGTAGAGAAGGTGTCACTGGAGTGAGTCCCATGGCTGTCCTGCTCTTCACAGAGATGTTCGCCATCCTCAGGGCCCTCCCATCCTGTTCCATCAGTAAGCAAAGTGAAGCTATAATTCAGTATCCACTCAATCCTTTAAAATATGTCATATGTGGTCATTTACCTTGTTGAACTGCTTGAGGATTGTAGTGATGAATTTCCCTCCTTTTTTCTCTTATTGTTTCTGGAAGAAACAGACATGGCGGGGAAAGAATGTCACCACTGGCAGTATATATTAGCCCCTCCTGTCACCACATATTCCAACTCCAGTTTTTGGTGTATGAAGAAAGGTCTTGCCATCCTTCCCAGGGTGGCCTTGAACTCTCAATTATACAGATCCGGCCATCTGTGTCTACCACAATGCCCTATTCCCATTCTCCCATCCAAAGGCAGGCAGGTTCTGTTGCTGGATCTCTGGTAACCTATCCGGCTCAAAGGTCTGCCCCAGGATAGTGTGTCTTTTTGCCATGAGATATTTCCCACCCTGTGATCCTTCAAAAATATGTGAGAAATAAAAACATTCTGTAGGTTCTGAAATAACTAGAAACTAGTGGTGAATCTAATGCAGGTAAATTAACTGAACGGCATTGTGTGATAGGTCACATCTGTCTACACATCTGGAATCTACAGGACTCTAGATACAAATTTTCTAGCAACTCATTTGGTGGTATGATGTCCTCAATGGCATAGGGAAGTTATTATTATTATTTTTACTAAGTTCCATTAGTATAAAGATACACGTATGTCATAGGAACATTACTTTGTTTGATTACAGTATGTTTCCTAGATCATATCTAGGATAAGAAACAGCCAGGTGTGCAGTGTGCATGTGTGCGTGTGTGTGAGTGTGTGTGTGTGTGTGTGTGTGTGTGTGTG